AATCGCACGGTCACAATTGTCCGGCAGTGTTTCAATTTCATTTTTTTTTCTACAAATCCAAATTATTTAAAATTTGGAGCGTGTGTACATATTAGTGAGGCGCAACATATTAGTGAGGCGCACCTAATAAAAATATGAAAATATAAATTGACCAAAATACCGCTAAAAATTTACGGGGGTATTTTGGTCAATTTATATTTTACGAATTGTTTTTTTCATATTTTTATTAGGTGCGTCTCTCTAAGATGTACACACACTCCAAATTTTAGATCATTCTGAAAAGTGAAAAAAAAAATGAAAAATGAAACACTACCAGACAACTGTGACCGTACGATGAAGTTCGGATGGTGATGACGGTAGGCAAAATCACTGTTCATTTTCACCTATAAACGTTTTGTAATATATATATATATATAGCCAAGGGGCTTAATCTATTCTCAACAAATGAAAAGAATGGGGAAAAAAGGGACATGGGCATAAAATGTAAAAATTACAGGACATAAATTAAAGGGCGAGGTTTGCATAAGGTTGCAACCTTGAACAATCAAATTAAGGTGCACCACCAAACTTTATCATGATATATAATTTTAGTGTTAGAAATTCGTAGGATGGTGCGAGGATCTATTTTTATCACTAATTATAAAATTATAAACGCTAAAAATAGTTCCAATCAAGCACATCTGTAAACACATGAAAATCTTGAAAATGGAAGGTCCGGATAATGTGTCGCAAGATGTATTACATTTAGGACTTGGAAATCTCTTTTTTTCTCCATATTTATATATCTCGATGTCCAGATGATCATCAATTAGATGTTTTTCCAACATCAAAACAACCCTTTATAAAGTATTTTAGAGGTGCATCTTAATTCTACATTATAGGGTGCCAACCTTATGTAAACTTTTTCCTAAATTAAATATGCAAAAAAGGATATTTACGAAAAAATTCCAATACAAAATATAGACAGCCTACATTTTCTGCATTGAGAATATGGATGTGCAAGGCACAGTGCGTATGGCTTGCCTGCTTGGGCATGCTACAATTGATCAATCAGGTATGTAGCAGAATGTTCAGAGGTTCTATGCTTATGCAATTCCTGTCTGATAAACTGATACAAGTATGCAGATAAGGAACATAAGAAATGTATTCATCAAAGAGACCATATTTCCTACAAACTGTGATTTGAGAATGGGTTGAAGTCAGATCAATTTATTGCTCCAACCAAGAGTCATGTCGATCCGAATTGCTTTCTCATGGTTTGGGCAAGTCACAAATACACTGTCTGAGTTCAGGGACAAAAAGAAAACATTTGGGCTTCCCCGGTAATGATGGAGCATAGATTCCCAGTATTAGTGGCTAACTTGGGGCAAGATGGCAATATTCTAGCGCATACTCAGAAAGTGGCCAGGAGTTAGATGTGCATAGTACATAAGAATGCAATATACCCACATGGCTCATACATAATTACTGACATGGCGATGTATATATACTTTATATATCCATGCAATATTAATACACTCTTATGGACAAAGATAGTTTGCAGAAACTCAGAAGTAGCCCTATGCGGTGCACATGTTTTGTCCTCGCAACCTCATCACTTTATATATGCAATCCAGTGATGTATCTTATTTACAGTTCAGTAATATATTCTTTCCTCTATTCTCATTTTAATTTTCTCAACTCTTTCAACTAATTTGTACCAATAAAAGGTAGCATGCATGGAGCGAGTGTGTTTTCTACCAACATGGCGTAAGTGCATTTAAATACATTCCACATCCCTATACTTGAAATGGATGCAGAGATGACTCAAGCTTAACATCAAATGGATATCAACTCATGGAAGGAGATATAGCTAACACAATCATACATGAGAAAACGGCAGAACGATAGAAGGTACTTTACCAGGTTTCAGATCCCTGTGGATAATTCCATTCGCATGGAGGCAATCCATGGCACGAGCAATGTCAAGGGCAAAACTTATTGCAATATGAAGATCTAATTGTTTTGGACGAATACTCATCAGATACTTCTTCAATGACATCCCCGGTAATAATTCTGTTGCGATCACCATGTGTGGTTCTTTACAAGCACCAATAAACTGCATAACAGAAGACAAATGAACAAAAATACAAACCTTATATTTCTGCCTTTTCTAAATCGAAAGTGATAACCAAGATTAAAAATGGTTCATATAATAGAATCAGACAAAACCAGAACACACCTTAACCAGGTTTTCATGTCTTACTCTAGACATCATAGTAACTTCTCTGGCAAAACGACCTTCAAGTTTTGCTCTTTCTTCTGGAGTATTGCCACAATTAAGCATTTTAATCGCGACAGTCCGCTCTCCATATCTGTAGATTATAAATAGTAATAAATTGCTGCACATTTGACTTCTGGAAAGTGGAAGGTACAGTAAGTCCCTCCCTCCATCCCTCCCTCTCTCGCCCCCCTTGACCCTTCAACTACAATAAGTCTTGCATGATAGAAATCCATAGAAACTTCCATATAGAAGATAAAATCATCCAAGAGAATAGGGAATTGGAGATTAAATAAAAGGATTTTACAGGTACCTATCTGCTTTGAAAGGCTATTGTCAAGAGATGCTGCATCTAAAACTTTGAAACTAAAGAAAAAGAAAATTGAAAAGTTAGGGGAAGCAGTTATTGGATGGCATCCCCTGATGCACAAAACCCGGATCCAGAAAAAATAAGAACATAGTTTCAAAACCATTTGTTGAAAAGGAGGAACCATCTTTTTATAAAAACTATGTCGGCACCACTCCCAAGGTCTTTGAACCTAGGCAGAGGTGTGGGGGATTGAGTGGGCCGCACAATTGGGACAGACATCCTTTCAAAGTAACTGCACATAGAGAGAGAGAGAGAGAGAGAGAAGAAAGGGGGGGTGGAGGGGCCAGGCAAAAAGTTATACAACATAAAGAGGCCTTGGGAATTGGGCTGTGACAGTTGAAGACTGACTAAAATTAGATAATTTTCTAAACAACAATGGTAGCATATTTTTTACTAGTTTTATAATCTCTTTGCAGTTAGTAATTAAAGTTTGAAGTTCAAAAACTTGGAAGTTTTTAATTGTAAAAACTAATGGCCTCTTCAATCGGTAAAAACCAAGGGCATATGGCTAGCCACCTCTAAATAAACTTGGAAAGATTTGTTCAATATCTGGATGCCAAGAAATATGACCAATCCCAAATTTACACAGAGATGGCATGGTAAAATGGAAAACTGCAGAAGAGAACCAGATTAATAAAAAGTTTTGCTTCACGTAGAACAAGCACTATACATGATTGGTGTAAATATAACATAAAAGAAGAAAGACAATTTACCAAAGGTTTTCACGTACTTTCCCGCATAGACCTTTCCATGAGCACCCTCTCCTATCTTTGAACCAACAAACAGCAAATTGGGATTGATCAGCAGCCTTTCATCTATCCTAAACTCCTCAACAATCCCAGGTCTATCGAATGGCCCCATCTGCATAGCCCCTTGTTCTTCTACAGTGTCTTTGTTTTTCTCAGTACAATTCATGTTTCAGCAGAAAAGCTACTCCAGAACCAGCCCTTGAAACCCAAGACCCTCATCCAAAGAAGACATTAAGCATGACCCATTCCCACCATGATTCTCTGATGAGTAGAAAACCAATCATCTGAGGCATGATCATGTGTGCATCGAAGAAGAGCCCAGTCCAATGGATAAAAGCTCTGACTCACAGCCCATACAATTATGAAGAATTTAAGAATAGATGTAGGCCTTTTTGCCAGCTTTATGACATGGTTCGGATTTGCTTTCACTAAATAATCCGATACAAGGCAAGCATTACCCCATCTTTGATTCTTTCAGTGCCTTGCCAACCGCAACAACTCTTTACCACCCCTTTTGAATTAGTGAAATCCCATCCCTCCTGTTTTTATGTTATGATGCTTCATATATAAGACAGATGAAAGCTATTCACTAATAAGATCACTTGAAAGTATAGAAAACTGAATAGACCTAAATTGTCCAAACAGCACCACCTATTTACAGTTTTACACAGTTTGAATTTTTCGAATCCAATGAAACCTTTTCAGATAATCATCAAGCCTTAATTTACAACCTATCTCTGTAAATTTACATCTTAACAGCTATCTTTCATTCTGTCTACGTTATTGCACATTTCTTCACAAAATACCAGCCTAAAATAGCCGAATATCTCTAAAGCTCAAATTTTCAAAATATCGGCTCAACAGCATCAGGTAACCACGCCACTTCAAATATAACCCTAGCTTCTGATTATACACCATGAAAATTCCAATTCACCAGTATTTGCCAGTCAATCAACCTCAAAACCACAAGCTTTCTGCTCTTTTCCACAGGGAAAAATGGTGTATAACCAGAGGAATCTAAATAATTCCCTATTCAACCATTCACACTTCAAATTGACCCCAGTAATTACTATTTCAGTGGATTACACATACGATGTCTACGCTGGTAGTAAAAAACAAACCAAACCATCATTTGAACTTCAAGTTACCCTGTTTTCCAAGTGAATGGATCAAAATCCCCAACTATCATTCATATCCATCTCTGAAAAGCTTTATAGGCCACGAAAGCAAGCATTTGCTACTTTGCTTTGCCATTTTCACTTCAGACTCGGAAAATAACCACAAAAACTTCAAATATTCAATCACAAAATATTGTCATCCCAGAAAATAACTTCTCACCGAGTTTTTTTCAGCAGAGTTCTCAGAAAGCTAAAATCCGAACCAGAAATCGCTGGAAAACACAATAAAAGTTCAATTTTTTTTCCACTTTTTTGCTCGAATTTTGAAACTACAGAATGAATTAATCCAAAAAATGGAACAAAGAAACTTACAGTACAAGGAAGTAGATGCCTGTATTCTTTAGTTCAGAGAAAGAGAAACCCTAAACTATCACTTTTTCGAGGTTTTTGCAGTGTTTTTGTCTGCTTCTTTTTGTATCTTTAAAATGCCGGCTTCTTCGGCGAAGAAGCGTCGATATAAAGTCATTCTCAGAGGATGTCATATATATACACATATACGAGGAAACAATATCAAAGTTGTCCCTATGCTCTTGTCTAATGACCATATTAGTCGAACGTTAGGTCTTTGCTTCAGTGTAACGTGCGCTTCTAGTAGGCTCTCGCGAGACTAATGTGTACACTTGGTACCGCGCCCAAAATTTATTTTGAAGTTGAAGGAAAAAGCTTACAAAAGTTTGTCGGCCATTTAATACACACTAAGTTACATCTTATGAATCCACCCTGAAATGGTTGTTCTGATATTAAAAAATCCCTATAATTGATCATCTCAACCTTTAAATATATAAATATAAAAAAAAAAAAGAAAAATAAAAAGAAAGGTGTGAAGTCCTAAAAACATTGCAACTTGGAACACATAAACAAGACAGCCTATTTTAAATTTTTAAGTGTTTATAGATTAGTTCGATCTCATTATTTATGGAGCTTTAAGTTTCATAATGGATGGAAATAGATTTTTAGGTCATTATAAAGGTCTTTGACACTGAAATTACATCTTTTAGTAACATTTTGAGGACCTTATACAAATCACCTCCTTTTTCCAATCATCTCTAATTCAATATGTGAATAATTATTGAAAGAATCATTTTTAGCTATTAATAGCTCAGATATAATCAACCGCAAATAGATGATGTGGAGTCTTTGATTCGAAATCAATAACATTTTATTAGCTCGATATAATTTTTAAATAAGAAAATTTATCAAAATGCAATGTAGAGATGAGTTGTTTAGGATTTTACCTAATTTTTATTTAATCTCAACAATCTCATAAAAAATGCACATGATCATGTGTTGGAATCGTTGAAATTGAGTAAAATGTTAAGGAGTCGAAATAGCTCATAAGTTAGATGCATTTTGATAATTTTCCTTTTTAAATATATCAATTTTTCAAAAAGATCCAAGTGACTTTTTAAGCCATGGTGAGAAGATGAAATATTTTTAAGAATAATAAAAGTTGAAACACTGTGCAATCATATGTTTAACATTTTGTACAAAATGATCACAATCACTTCTAGCCATTAGATGTAAAATTCAGCAATTAAGTCCAAAACATTCCTCTATGATATTTTGGAAAGTATCAACACACCCAATCATCCAATTTTACATAAACATATTGAACTGATTGTGACCTCTTTGTACGCAAGAGATAACAGTCACCGTATACAATTCCATAAAAGCTTGGGACTCCAAGAAGACATGAGTATTCATTTTGAAAAGTTATATGATTACAGATAGTAAGATGAAATAATTGTATTGAGATTTTTGAAATAGGCAAACATGGGGTTGCTTTTGCTGAAAACATGTCTCCTCCATTTCTATCAACTTTGCGGGTAAGTTGCAATTTGGACCTTAGAAATTGAAGATAGAGCCTTGTAGTCTAGTGCAGTTTTTGTGCCCTAACAACTGAGCCAGGAGGTTGCACCTTTGTCTCTCTCTCTCAAATTTTTTCAAAATTAAGATGCAAAAGTCAGGTGCAAAAAATGATGTAAAACATGTTATTCTCTAAGAACAGGCAAACAAGATCATGTTTTTCTTGTGAAAACCTCTCTCTGTCTGCCATGAGTGCACATGTATGGTGCAGAGGCAAGAGAGAGAGAGAGGATTGAGGCAAGCCACTTTATCCCACTTGATTGAGAGACTGGACAACCACAATTATACTAAATTATTTTCTCGTTGTTTGTATATATATTTTTATATATTACCAGTGTCAATGAAATATGAGACGTTATGTTGAAGCATCCGCCGCCCTAACTACCGATGCTCCAACCCCATTCCCAATTCTTGCTTGTAATTATCAAGGAGTGTGTACATGCATTTCTCCTGTGGAGACACCATATATTGCACCCTTGAGGAAGAGAGTTGGTTAAGAGTTCTTTAGCTATAGAATTTTGGGTTCCACTTCAGAATTTTCGATCATCGTTTGGATATTTTGAAAGAAAAAAAAAAAAACTTTTGGGTTCTTATAAAAGTATATTTGATTGCTAAAAACTTGAACGATCACTATTCAACTTGAGACATTATTTTTTCAGCAAACAAAAGACACATATGGTCGATTGTTTTTTTTGTTTCGACATTGGTTACTAGGTTAGGGAGATTACACCCCAGAAATTGAATTTCCAATACTCCCATCATTCTTCCTCTATGTTATTTATGAAATCTAGATCTTTTAGGGTTATAGTTGATGGCAATGCTTTAATCCCATCTCTACTGCAGAATCGCACATGAGAGTTTTTCTCATTCAGCTCCTTGCGAATTAAATGATTCAATCTATAGAGATTGACCTGAGTAAATAAGTGATTTTCTCCCTCAATAGCATATATTTTTTTAATATCTAAGAGCATAAATTGCTTGCTCTTGAAAAGATGGCCATCAACCAAGTTATATTTTTTCTTTTTTCTTTTTTTTGTTAATCCAAAGGACTTGAGCATGCGTTCTCAAAATTGAGCCCAAAGGGAAAAATGGGTTTGGACAACTGCAAACCATGGCAGCGTGATCAAAATGACCATGCCACGATGAGGGGCATAATGGTCTTTTTACAATTTTGGGGTGGTTTGACATTTGATCAAAAGATAAGGTTACTTCACCAATAACATCCCAAGAAGCTGAATGCGATATTACTCGTGGCCGACGATGAATGGTGTCTGTGGTCATAGAATCCTCGATTTGGACGTCATCGTCCTCTTGTGACCGGCCTAAGCAGTCGGGCTTGACTTTTCTTTAGGCCTCGTCTGCTCCTTATTTTAGGACCCAAAACACCCAAATCTTTTAGCAAATGACGATTACATACTATTTTCTCATAGAGTTATAGCATGGACACGCTCATGCCTTCTTTCTAAAATTCATCATCCAGCATTATCCTAAATATTTAGAGCTGATTTCTTGAATCATATTATGTCATTTTATTAAAAATCTAGTGGTTTTGAGGAAAAATGGTTTTTTATTGTGCCATTTTGTTGTATTAGGGCCATAACCTCAGTTAGATCATAGATAAATATATATCTTTTCACGACTTCCATCCATATTTTTTTGGCTTTTTCCTTGCCATTTTAGAGCTTTTTCCTTAAATCAAATCGCTCATCTTTACTAGTGTTGTTCTAGGTGCATGGGCAAACTACCTAATTCTATTATCTCTTTTGTTATCAAGGAACCACTATCTAAATCCCCTCGAATGTATCCAGTCCAAAGAAATAAAATTAACATTTTGATACTAACATTATTGACACTCATATCTATATCAAATGCTAACAAGCATCTATGTATCCATCTAATATAAAATAGAAGCATGCTTTAGATCCCTATAGGGCACAAGGTTTTAATGCTTTGGAATATTCTTTTCGTTCTAGTCTGTGACGGAAATCACCCTGGTTTTTTATTTCAAATAATTATGGAAAAGCTAAAATAACCATAAAAAAATCAAAGAGAAACTAACATTCAAGGAGAAAGAAGATTTCCCTTTTATTAGTTAAGTTATTTGATGTATATTTTGCTAAGTCAACACATTTTCTTTTGGTAATCAACTTGTTTTCTCTTTAAAAATTGTTCACATGTAAGCAATAATTCTTCACAAGATTTTTGCAAAAATAAGCTTTCACAATATTATAGAAGATATACTTTTTCTAGTGTAAAAATTGTGCCATATGACTGATGCACTATCTCCAAAAAGTTGTCGAGCAAATCCAAAACATTATGGCTGATCCACTAATTACTTGTTGGAAGTGATTATAGGAAAGAGCACAGAACAATTTTCTCAGGATGTGTGTGGTTTCAATCTATGTCCCCAAAGAAAAGGATTGGTTCCACACAAGTTAATAACAATGCCTAAAAACCTTGAATCTGGTGCTGACTCAAGCAGTTTTCAAGGCTAGTCGGCTTGCCGATTCTAAATGAGTCGGTTCTAATTTGTAAACACAAATGGAAAAAAAAAAAGATAAAAATGTCTGACCCTTAAGTAAACCAAGCATTTTGGAAAACCTAGAAGGATTCTCTAGGACTATTCAGAGCCAAATAAACCCCAAGTTCAAACCGACTATCACGATTCTGAGTCGGTACGTCAATTGTTTATAAGTCACAACCGCTCGAACGCCAATGCATGACAATCATGCAAAGAATATTAGGGTCTCTACCATTCAAGGGCCCATCAAGCACTCTCACCATGAATAAATAAATCTTATCAGGCATGGAACCCACTTTGGAAAAGATATGCATATCAAAAGTTAGTATGTGGTTTGAAGATTAGTGGTTTTCGATGTGGTAAAGAATCGCTTTCCGTTGAATAGATAAACATTCTAGATCACTTTTGGAAAATTAAAATGAGTTGAGATTATGGTTTGAAATTTCCCTAGAAGCCTCTTTAAAATTCTATGCATGAGGCCACTTTGTCCTTAATTAGGAATTGACCAAAGTGCTACATTAAAAAAGTCTATTTAAGGGCGAGGCCGTAAACAATCAAATTAAGACACATCTAAAAAATTTACTAGAAGAGGTTGCTGTAGTGTGCAAAAATCAACCTCAAGATATATAGAAATGAAAAAAAAGATTTCAAGACTTAGAAATAGTACATCTTGTAGTGCATTTTTTTACTATTAATTTTCAATATTTTTAAGTGTTCATACATCTGCTCGATTTACACTATTTTTGAAGCTTTAAATTTTATAATTAGATATACAAATAAATTTCCAGGTTATCACAAAAATTTTCAGTATTGAAACATCTTTCAACACTATTTCAAAGCATGGTTTAGGGTCTCGACACCTTATACAAACCAAACCCTTTAGCAATTATCTAAGTTTTGGTCCAATTTCTAGCTAGTTTTGTTAGGGATCACATGAACAATGGCGCTTTTGACAAATGATAATCAATACTCAATTGACCAACCTGTTAATTAAAGTGGAAGAATAAAAAATGGTAGAGGTAGGTCCAAAAAGACATGGTTGGAAGTAGTGTGAAA